TTGGGAAACCGCACAGAGTGCAGTTTGATGAGGGGAGAGCATGAGACCACCACATTTTTCCTCCTCCTCCTCCTCCTACTACTACGCCCTTTTTGCCTACAGCGTGGTACAAGCGCATACGCAATTAACTCAGGGAAGTAAACAGGAAACGGCAACGTAGGCAGAACGAACCACATTTGTGGCTTCTAGCAATGAGACGCCTTAAGGAAGAAAGTGGAGTTGTAAATAGATTACTGGGAGGAGGACCACTGCTAGTCCACCCTCCAAGTCGCAGTCAACGTGATGTGAAATAGAGCAGGAGCAGAGCTTTGCTATATTGGGATTGTTGTTAGTTTTCCTCCTGTCTAGCGCCCTCATCGCCGTAATAAACTACCCTTCTTCCAATTCCCTTGTCAAGGTCACTGCGAAGTCGGTTGGGCCTACATAATAACTATTGTTGGCGGTGTCATCACTCTTCTCTCAACACTTGTGCCATGTGGCATGCCCTTGAACGCCGCCTTTCAGACGCCGATCATGGGCAAACAGGATTGCGTAGAAATGCCCAATGGTATCTACGTGAGCAGTACTCCTGTGCCTCTTTTGCCGATGAGAAGCACTGCTACTCCCACCGATCAGTCCTCCCTCAATCAAGGCAGCTTCAGTCGTAAAACAAGCAGCGTTCAAGGCGTGGTTGCTATGACATCTAGCACATACGTTTCAGCTCCTGAGTTTCGTGTGCTAATCCCAACAACATCTGTGATCGTGCAGCCTCATTAGGGGGCGTGAAGCTTGTAAATGAAGTCAGTCCTTTCAGACCTTAATTGTTTGTCCATCTGTGAGAAAGAAGTCCAAACATTTTGACTGCTGCCTGCACAAATTTGTACTTAAATGTATTTAAGTAGGTGTGATTTCGCTTGTACGATTTCCGTCAAATCTTTGGACTACTTGTCTGTCTATCGAGTAATGAAATCTTGGAAATGTACAATTCTTTTGGGTGGCCATCATCGGCCAACTTTTTGTTGAGGCCTTATATTTACTGCTTGGTACTCTTGGAAAAGCACCCAGAGAATACCCTTGTTTCTCCATCAACTTAAACAATACTTCCTTTTGACAAAGAACAAATGCCA